GCAGAGCAGCTGACAGCATGCATGAGGCCTGGTGTTTTATCCCCAGCACCACACACACACACACACACACACACACAAATCTCAATGAAGTACTAGCAAATCAAATCCTGCAGCATAGAGAAAAGATTATTCACCAGGGTCAAGTGTGTTTCATCCAAGAGACACAAGGATAGTTCAAAATCCACAAATCAACAAACATAATACATCACATCAACAGGATGAAGGACAAAAACCATAAGGTCATCAAAGTAGATTCAGGTAAAGCATTTGATAAAATCAACATATCTTTATGATAAAAACCCTCAACAAAACCTTGATTTGATCAATACACATGTATAAAAATGCATGTGTATAATTTTACTTGATAATCCCAAAAACAATTTTTTAATGTTTAAGGAGGTGGAAATGCTAGCTACCCTAATTTGACTATTAGATATTTTATACATATTTTTGAATTATTACACTATGACCCATAAATATGCACAATTAAATTAATAATAATAATAAAACAAAATGTAGAGGGGGGGGAAGTTAATAACTTCACCACCATATTTTTATGTGTTAGGAAGGGCTTTCCCTCTCTTTTGGTTGATTCAGGTAAATGCTTGAGAAGGTAGATCTGCTTGCCCTGATATGAACATTACATAATTATACATGCATCAAAGTATATCACATGGTTTCCTATCAATATGAACAATTCTTATGTGTTAATTTAAAAAGTTTTAAATGGCATTCACTATCAAAGCTTCCCAACATGGTAATGGTAATATCAAGATACAGATGATTTCATTGATGGATTCTTTAAACATTGAAAGAAAAAACAAACAAACAAACAAACAAACAAACAAGAACAGGATGAGCCAGGTGTGGTGACACATTTTACTAGGCAGCATCATGTGGTATGGATGTGGTGGACACAGGGACAACTTATATCCCAGGCAGGAATGAGAGTACATGCTACTCTCATGCATGATTTAAAATTTCATATTTTTGAACTATAATTGACCACATGTATTGGAAACTGTGGAAAGCAAAACCATAAAGAGGGAGATGACTGTTTATTCATCAGTTGACTGTCAGCAACAGTGAGAGTGGAGCGAAGCAGAGTTAAACACTTCCTGTCCTCACGCCAAGAATCAGGGGTATCTATGGCAGTCATCCCGCATCCCTATCACCTTTTCGTTGGTATATACATGGGGGTGTACAGGATTCATATGTTCTTACAAATTCCAATTAAGAGGAAGAAGACACAGGGAACTGCATTAGAAGGAAACTTATTTTCTCCTGAACCTCATTTAGATGTCGCCAGGATCTTAGATATTGAGTTGATGTTACAATAGGATGAAATTCTGAGACTCTTGGGAAGAAGTGAGTCTTGGGTTATACATAAACACTTTGTGGCGAGAGTACAAGCTGTGACACACTGAAGATGGTCAAAACTAATTTGCTAGCCTTCCCATGGAGTGATAGTGCTTAATTTCCTTCCCTTAGTAACTGGCCTGGACTTAGTGACTTGCTTGACAACATGGGCAGTGAAAGTGAGGGTCTGGAATTTCTATAAGCCAGGTTCAAAACTTTGGTGGACCATACAGCTTCCACCTTGACCTCATTGAATTTCCTCAAGGCGTTGACTTTCAGAACCTTGCTCCCATGCGGTGGGCTTCCCCAGGATGGTGGAAAAACTATATATAGGTGCTCAGATCTAGCTAACAAATGGAGAATGCATAAGTTACTAAAAATGGAACAGATGCAGGTGACTATTAAAAAATATTTAAGTACAGATAGACTCTTTTTTCCTACTATAATATAAATTGCAAGTAAATTAAAGATTTGAATGTGATAGTTAAAACTTATAGGAAATAGCTAAGTGGAATTACCATGATTATGAATGGAAAGGATTTTAAATATGGAGATAATGGGGAAAAATTACAATGTAAAGTATCTGTCAACTTTGACTACAAAATAATTTTAAAACATTCTAGACATAATGGAATGACTAGGACAGAAAAAAATCAAAATTTTATTTTATTGTCTTTAATATTTATTTAAAAAGGAGTGAACACTTCGCTAGGGAAAAGGGCAAATATATTAACAGGACTATTTCAGGATTAATTGCTTCATTCAAATCAGATGAAACAGGCTGAGTATAGCTCAGAAGTAGAGCACTTGCCTAGCTTGTATGAGACCTTGGGTTCAATCCCACCACCATTAAAAACAAACAAACAAACAGATAAAACAAATGCTCTTACTAGTAAGGAAAGAAATACGAGTTTAAAAACAGTTGGTTATTGGCAGGTACAGTGGCGCACACCTGTAATCCCAGTGACTCAAGAGCCTGAAGCAGGAGGATCACAAGTTCAAGACCAGCCTCAGAGACTTAATAAGGTCCTTGGCAACGTAGTGAGACCCTGTATCTAAATGAAAATTTAAAAGGACTGGGGATGTAGCTCAGTGGGCTCCTGGGTTCAATTCTCAGTACCAAAAAAATAAGTTTGATGAAATTGTTAATGATTCAAGCATGATCCTAATAAACTAACAATAATACTGGAATAAAGCATAGGGGTTAAGAGAATGGTATCTGGAGTCATGCAGATACAAGCAGGAAGTTCACTCCTTCCATATAATAGTCTTATGGCTTTGATCAGGTGATTGATTATCCTCACTAGGCATCGGTTTTTGTAAAATAGAAATAATAACAATTCCATCATCCTGAGCTGCTTATGTTACTTCTGACCATGTACTGACAGTATCCAAGAACTAGTCAGTATTAGTAAGTACATGGGAGATAGGAGGCGATTTATATGCTCTAAGTGGCATTATGGCTGCTGTGCTTTATGTAGACTGTCTCATTTGAAACTTGTGGGATTTTTCTGGAGGATACTTTGTCTCAGAATTGCTCTGTTTAAGGAAATCATAAATGGTCATATTATAGCTTATGCCTTTCATCTCTTCTTCAATCCAGTTTTACCTAGGGCAGAGGACAGGAACTAAATTGTCCAGTGCACAGGTGGGAGGTCCCAGGAGACTTGCTGGTTAGGCTGAAGTGCACTACAGTGCAGCAAGAGAATCTCACTCCCCAGACCCACATCTAAGAGGTTAACCCTTGGGAAAGAGATGCCCCAGATCCCCCAGGACCCAGCCAGAGCTGGCTGGAGCATAACTTTCAGAGTGACACTGGGGTTGACTCTAATGAGCACTTTGGGACATGGTGTACCCAGAGCCTTTATAACCCTAAGAAACAGTCCTGTCTTGTAAAGACTGGAAAGCTGATACTGAGTCACCGTCCAGGTGCTCCTAATGAATGCTGGACTGAGTGGAGCCCAGCTTTCCTGACTCCGAGTCAGAAAGGTCTCAGAAAGTTCCTCAGTGAGAATTTTCCATCTAAAGGAGAGAATTTAAAGATGCCTGAAATTGATTCTTACTGTAACAGGTGAGGATCTGGAAGGTTAACACACACACACACACACACACACACACACACACACACACACACCTCTTTACTAGCCAAATGATCAGGCACAAGTTTCTGGGTTATGTAATCTGAGTCTGCCTAAGATCAGAAGCCTCTCTACGAACCACAGAAGCAAACAGAACTCAAATTCTGTGAGGCCAACATGAGACGGCCTTTTATGCCAACTTGCTCTGAATCCTAGGAGGGCAGACAGAGAGGCTACTTTGCTTAGCATGATATTCTCCAACTCCATCCATTTTAATTCAAGAATGCCAAGGTTCAATATTTTTCACCTTGCCTCTATTTGATAAGAAATAAATATCAGAGAGATGCAGTTCAAGTGTAGGGGTGAAGGCACAGGGATTCTAAAATATCAGCTCCCAGAATAGATGACAGAAGAGAAGAAGACACAGATAAAGGAGAGCCGTGGAAGAGTAAGAACCCCTGTCCCTCTTGTGAAAGGAACATCCCAGCAGTTAACGGAATGTAGGATATCGCGGAGCCCCCTGCCCTCAGCCCTCGTGTCCTGTGCTCCCAGATGGCGAACAGTTCAGACCTGGTCTGAATGGATGAGGTCATCTTCTAGGGAGTGGGAGGCAAGTGGAGAGGAGAGTGTCTTTTCCTTTTGACTTCCATAAGAAGACTTTAAAGTACATGAGTGTGCCTATGTGTGTGGGCCTATATGTGTGTGACTGTGTGTTGGGAGAGGGAATAGTAATAATGGAGATCATAATCTTCTCTTTAATAAGAAAAAAAATTCATAAATTTTTAGAATTTAAAGAAATCATAAATTTCTTTTCTAGTTTTGCCCATGAGGCCATCCTCAATTCTCATCTCCTCCAAATACGTAACGCTGACTTCTCTGATCAAACTGATCTTTTATTCCCCAGACCCTGTTATAGCACAGAAAGCACAATTTTATTGGAATGGATATTATCTTTATTTATTTATATAATTAGGTATATGTGACAGCAGAATGCATTTTGATTCATTGTACACAATTGCAGCACAACTCCTCATTTCTCTGGTTGTACATGATGTAGTGTAGCACCATATATGTAGCCATACATGTACCTGGGATAATGACGTCCCTCTCATTCCATCATCTTTCCTGCCCCCACTTCCCTTCCCTTCCCCTCCCTCCCCTTTGCCTAATCAAAATGCCTTCATTTTCCCCCATGCTCCCCCATTATGGATCAGCATCCACTTATCAGAGAGAACATTTGGTCTTTGGTTTTGGGGGATTGTCTTACTTTGCTTAGCATGATACTCTCCAACTCCATCCATTTACCTGAAAATGCCATAATTGGATAGTATCTTAAATGTTCTCTGAATGTCTTGTGGGTATTTTCTTACATCTTTAATGAGATCCAGAGATTCTCATTGGCAAGGACCATTTACTCTCCTTTATTTTCCTGGTATAGTTCTGGCCATACCAAATATATATATATATATATAAAATCTATAATCCTGGGAACTGACAATTTACAGAATACATACATATATAATTAAATATTTAATTATTAGTATATTTTAAACATTTAGTTATTAAATATACTGATAATTAAATATTGTCACATGGAAAGGTTTTATCTGCACAGATCACAAGGACTACAAGGGATGGGAAAACCAAGCCTAGTGAACCAATCTGCTGTTTCAGACTTCCTCCTTTTAGGACTCTCTGAGCGGATAGAAGAACAGCCTCTTCTATTTGGCCTCTTCCTGGGCATGTACCTGGTCACTGTGGTGGGGAACCTGCTCATCATCCTGGCCATCAGTTCTGACCCACGCCTCCATACTCCCATGTACTTCTTTCTGGCCAATCTATCGTTAACTGATGCCTGTTTCACTTCTGCCTCAATCCCCAAAATGCTGGCCAACATTCATAGGCAGAGTCAGACCATCTCCTATTCTGGGTGCCTTGCACAGCTATATTTCCTCCTTATGTTTGGTGGCCTTGACAACTGCCTCCTGGCCGTGATGGCGTATGACCGCTACATAGCCATCTGCCAGCCACTCCATTATAGCACAGCTATGAGTCCTCGACTCTGTTCACTAATGCTGGGTATGTGCTGGTTGCTGACCAACTGTCCCGCTCTGATGCACACACTTTTGCTGACCCGTGTGGCTTTCTGTGCCCAGACGGCCATCCCCCACTTCTACTGTGATCCCAGTGCTCTGCTGAAGCTTGCCTGCTCTGACACCCACATCAACGAGCTGATGATCATCTCCATGGGTTTGATGTTCCTCACTGTTCCTCTCTTGCTGATCGTCTTCTCCTATGTCCGAATTTCCTGGGCTGTGTTCGGCATCTCTTCTCCCGGAGGGCGTTGGAAGGCCTTCTCCACCTGTGGTTCTCATCTCACGGTGGTGCTGCTCTTCTACGGATCTCTTATGGGTGTGTACTTACTTCCCCCATCAACTCACTCTACAGAGAGGGAAAGTAGGGCTGCTGTCCTCTATATGGTGATTATCCCCATGCTGAACCCATTCATCTACAGTTTGAGGAACAGAGACATGAAGGAGGCTTTGGGCAAACTTTTTGGCAGTGGGAAAACGTTCTTCTTACCATGACTGAGGCCTAAGCCTAATGCCCAGATCAACTCTTGCCCTTCACCACTTCAGTGATTTTGAGTTAGAGATATAACCCAAAGGGCATTTCCCTCCTATAGGCTGTGGAATGAGATGTTCTGCCTCAACCTCCCTCCTGCTCTTAGCAGAAAAACCACTGCTAAGAACAGAACATCAGTCCCCACTCCTCCCCTCTAAAACCAGCACATTATCCATAAGTCATGTTATACTGGGGTCTGGAGCAGGGAATTCTACCCCGGTAAGGCAGGATGAGAATGCAAACATTTATTGACCTTTCTCAATGTTCTTCATTGTTTCTCACATCTGTCCTTTGCGATAGAATTGAAAAATTGTGGCTTAGGATGCAAAGAGTTTGCTCAAACCAGGTGAGTTTGATTCTGATACCTGTTCTCCTTGTATTGTGTCACACTGTGGTGATCATGATCAGGAAGGTATGAGAGCACATGTAAGGCTATCGAATGATGAAAACAAGAGATGATAATTAAAATGCTATATACGTCATGCTATTTCCTTTCTTTAACTTATAACAAATATGTAAAAAGAAATCAATATTTGTTTAGTGCCTTCTGTGTGCCAATTTTATACTCAGTGCATGACTTATTTTCTGGGTTCTTTCATGAAATATTTCTTAAAAACTGATTAATCATGCATGCTGGAAATTTTCAGAGCAGTAATTTCACGAGAATCACTCTGTGGGAATTGGTGTTATAAGACACAAAGCTTAACAATGGTTATCTTTATGCAATGGAATTAGATAATCATTTTCTTCTTTATAGCTATGTGTTTTAAAACATGTAGCTATTTTTAATATTGGTAAAGGAAATTTGGGGGTTGGCACCAAAAAAAAAAAACCTCCAATAATTAAAAAGACACCCAAAAGAGATAAACAAACATGTAACCAGATCTCTAAGTCTCAAGATTAAGTTCATGCTGGACCAAGTTTTTTTTAAAAGGATGGTGTGGATTTTTGGTGGTGTACAGTAGGTCTTGTTCTTAAAAGAAGACCAAGCATTGCAGGCATTATACTTTGGCTATTCTTTCTTCGCCCTTCTTTCTTTTTTCTTTGGATTGGAAGAGAGAAATAATGAGAGTATTAGGGAAACTAGACCAGACCATCCTGGCCTTAAACTTAAGTTATTTTGTCCTGACCATAGCAATCTACTACTGCAATTTCTAGTACCAAAGCAAAGGTCAGAAAAGGAAAATTTTGGGTTTGTAAGTAGTACTTCTGGTTTGGGGAGCTAATTCCTACTTCTAGTATCCCTACCTCTGCCCTCCAGTCACCCTGGCACACCATTCCATTAATAATCTATTTATGCATAAAGGTAACTACTTCTAGGGATCAGCTTATGCAATTGTGGGGAATAACAAGACTAAAATTTTTAGGTGCCAGCAGCCCGGACGCATAGGTAGTAATTGATACTGCCTTTTTTCAATAGACAATTTTTTTAGAGCAAGTTTAGATTTACAAAAAAATTCATCCAAAAGGTCCTATACATCCCTTATTACTCTGCAATACAACTTCCACACTATCAACATCTTACACCAGAGTGGTATGTATCTTACAATCAATTAATCTCCATTGACATACCACTATCACCCAAAGCCTATAGTTTCCTCTAGATTTGCTCTTGGTGTTGTATATTCTATGGGTCTTGACAAACATAATGACGTGTATTTATTGTTATAGTATCATACAGTTTCACTGTCCTAAAAATCCTCTGTATTCTACCTATTCATCCCTCTATCCCACTATTCCTGGCAACCATTAATCCTACTGTCCTCATAGTTTGGATTTTTCCAAATGGCATATAGTTGGAATTGTACAGTTGACTGGCTTTTTGGATTGGCTTAATTCACTTAGCAATGTACATTGAAGATTTCTCTGTATCATGACTTGCAGCCCTGAGGGGTGAGTAATATTCCATTGCATATAGTCTGTAAGATGTAATAGATGTGATATCTATGTCTACTTTAATTTTTTATGTAGATGCCCAGTTGTCCAAGCACCATTTGCTGAAAAAAACCTGATCTTTATATTGCTTTTCCTCCTTGGTCAAAAGTCAGTTGACAATATTTATGTGCCTATATTTCTGGATTCTCTATTCCATTTCATTTATTTAGTTGTCTTCCCCCGCTCCACCCTTTTACTCATCTCACACTGTATTTTTCTACTGTAGCTTAATAGTAAATATTTAAGTCTGGGAATATCAGTACTCTGAATTTCTTCATCTTCCTAATTGTTAGCTATTCTAGGTTTTTTGCCTCTCCATATTAACTTTAGACCTGCAATGGTCTATTTTTATAAAAAAAAATCTACTAAGATTTATGTACTCATCAGGATATTTGGAATTGATTTTTAAATTTACTTTATTTTTTCTATATATCATGCTTTTGTTTTTCTTTTTCTCTCTTTTATTTGTTATATCTTCCTCAGATAATTTGAAAGTTTTGCATTTCATTTAACACTTTTGAATTATTGACCCTAGTATTTTACATTGTGCAATTGGAAATAAGCCTTTAATTATTTTTTAGAAAAATTATATACTTATAAGCAGTTATAATAAATAATACATACAGATCTCATATACTCTTTACCCACTTTCTTTTTGTTTTTGTCTATTTCAAGTAATATTGCAAGAAATGGAGATATTTGTAAATGTTTTTGTGTAAGCATAAGTTTCCATGTCTTTGAGATAAATGCAGTTTCTCAACTGTAAGGCAGTCACATGTTTAGCTTTTAAAGAAAACACTATACTGTTTTCTGGTGACTATATTATTTTGTAGTGCCACCAGGAAAAATATGAATGTTACAGATTCTTTGTATCCTCATAAGCATTTGGTGTTGTCCTTATTTTTTATTTCAGTCATTCTGGTAGGTATGTAGTCAAATCTCATTGTCATTTTAGTTTGCATTTCTTAGGTGGCTAGTGATAATTAATAACTTTCTGTTATCATCTGCCCTCTATATATCTTCTTTGATGACATATTTCTTCAATTCTTCTGCTCACGTTCCCACTGGATTGTTTACTCGGTAACTCTTGAGTTTTGCAATCTCTATATATTCTAGATACTAATCCTTTGTCAAATACATGATTTACAGATATATTCTTCCATTCTCAAGTTTCTCTTTTCACTCTTAACAGGATCCTTTACAGAATAAGTTTTTAATTTTGGTGAAGTTCAGATTATCAGTTTATATTTTATATATAATGCTTTTTGGTTTTGGTGTCAAGTCTAAGAACTACTTTTCCAGGATTTTACCTCCCATTTTGTTAAATGTTGAAACCAATAGGAAAAGACACAGTCAAGATCAATGACTGGGCTCATAAACTTAAGCTTGCAGTAAAGAGGGTAGAGTCAGGGTCTGCTTTCCCAAGACCTAAGTAGTTGAAGCATATCCATGCTTGATGTAGGAAATCTATAGAGGAGAGACTATTATAAATGAATACAAATTAGAATGACCTTCTGTATTGTACTGATGCAGTACAATAATATATATATTTTTTAAATCCAAAGGAGAAGGAAAAGTTTTGAAATCTACAATGCTATATCCTACCAAATAATCAAATGATCTACAGA